ACACTTGGGCTGTAATGATACATAGATACCATAACAGCTACATCACTGTCTAGTGCACCAGTAACTAGCCAGCTCTTTTATAGTTAGCTGAACAATGAAAAAGTCACTGCTTTTTTTCTAACAAACAGCGACTTATTGCAAATAAAATTGCCAACTATTTCAATGCACTGGTTTCTGGAATCTGCTGTGTATAGGGATCAACAAGAATTGTCTTCCAGGACCTGCAGTAGATCTAAATCTCTTGCCTCTACTTATAATTGAAATGTCTCCACCAAAGCAAATTAAAAACTTAAGATGATCACACAAGACTAAAACTGCAGCGTAAAGATTAAAAAAAAATGTATTCACTTTATTTAAAATTGAAGAAATGAGGTTACCTTTTGTCTTTGCTGTGTATTTCCTTTCTAAGCTCTTCATTCCTTTCTGAGCTTTTACTTTTGTTAGACGCCTGTGACACCTGTCAATTTTTGATTACCGTGCTTCTTGTAAACTCAATGTGTTCTCTCCAGTACCTAACACTGGTAAGGACCGAGATGGGATTTGCAAATCATGGGGACAGTATAATTTTGAAACATTTGATGGCATCTACTACTACTTCCCGGGAAATTGCTCCTACATTTTTGCAAAAGACTGCAATACTCCAGAACCCCAGTACACTGTTTGGGTAAGTATGTGAGCATACGCTAGAAATAACACACTGAGTATTCCTGTATTACAGGACTTATTTTTCATCATAAGTAAAATAAGTAGAGAGACAATAAATGGATGAAACCATTGCATTGCTTACTTAAATATAAAACTATGCTGCTGGAAAATGTCTAAGCCTATGTGCAGTAACTCAAAACACTGATGAAATGATAATCAACAGAGTCAGTATATTAAAAATAGTATTTCTTACTCCCCCTATCCTAAAAAGGATCTCTGATCTCTCCTTTCTGGGAGCAAAAGTGGGACTTAAAGCAGGCCTTGGAAACTTCAATAAACCTTAGCTGTCAGATTGTAAAAAAAAATGGAATTGCTGAGAAAGTGCAAACAGCTATCACCTGCTTGATAGCTGGGCACCCAAGCTGGGCCCCAATTCACTGCCGTCGGCATGCTACAGGGAGCTGCCTCCCTGGTCCTCGGAAAAATCTGTCCCCTCAGAGGATTTGTGTTCTAATTTTGGATTACCTCTACGTCATGCAGAGAAGATTAACAGCTCAAAAGCCTCCATCTTGACCTATGTATGGAAGGCACTCTTTTTAGTAATTTCCTCAAATTGCTGAGTATCCATGGTTAATGATTTTGGGTTAGGGAGAGTTCAAACCTATACTCTCTTTGAAAGGAAGCCGCTCTATTTATCAGGCTGTTCGGTACTGTGGGGGAAGGATATGAGCTCATTATGTTACTTTTTACACAATGATCAGGATTTGGTGCTGATTGGGCAGGGGAGACGGGACAAGAGGAGTCCCAGTTCTAAGCCCTGGTAGTCACAGTGCTCGCAGGGTCACGGGCAGGCCTAGATGCTGATTTCTGCTCCAAGGACTGGTTTTCATTTATAAACACATGGTCTCCTCTCCTCCCAGATAATAGCATCTAGTGAAGATAAGTCTGCCATTAAAGCTACCATTTCTATTCATTCAGGTTATAGACAGATGCTGTTACAACTTCCACGATTTCATTTTAATACTTTGGATCCTGTGTGCAGCTATGATCTTTCAGGATTTTTCAGAAAATGCTGTAGCAAAGCCCAAGATTATATTAAAATCTAGAATAAATATTTCAGTGGATCCAAGTTGCTCTGGAAAGAGAGAAACTACCATTCAATTGCTGGAACAAATGTCATGTTTTGTTAAAATCTGAAAATGTTTATTCAGAAAAGTCAAAAGTAATGTTGAAGCACTGCAGTCACTACAGGCTGGGCAATGGAGAGCCAAGAACCTTGCCAAATCCTCATATTATTGTCCTTCTGGCTTTAATAATCCACCTCTCTGGAGGAGAGTAAAACACAAGGATTATTTTGATTTTCCTTATTGTGTTTCTGTCTTGGGCCAGATTTACATAGAAGCCATCTGTCAATACTAGTAACATTTATGATGTATTTAATTGTGATTTTCTTTATACAAGTTAAAACTCTAATGCTTTTCCTGGTTTATTTCACTCAAAGAAACAGTAACTGGTTTTTACTTCCTGGATTGTCAGTTTAGGAAGATAAATTTGAGTACGTGTTACCACTGCGTGTGTTTACCCAACAGGTCTTTTCAACAAAAATGATATCTTTGGTTACTTTTACAGCCTCCATTACAATGTTGGCAGAATATTTCCCAATTACTAACCTATTTAGCTTCACAGCACTGTCAAATAAACTGGTAATGCAACTCCCATCCTTCTCAGGTAATGGTGACGCACACAGTCACAGGAGTCCTATGAGCCATCTAAACTCTATATACATTTTAATTTAGGTAATGACAGGTATCTAAGATTCACAACACATTCCCCTGTCTCCTCAGTGGTGTCTAAAATCAGCTCATATGCTTTTGGAGCATTGTAGTCTAGGGCATCCCACAGGTTTGGGTGGCTCAGCCCCACTGAGATTAATGAAAGCTGTTGAAGTTTTCCTTAAGCTCTTGCAGTAGGTATGTGCTTAAAACTCACTTAGACTATGCGTGTGTAATTCAAAATGGGGTAGTAGTTAATTGATTAGAGCATATGCACAGTAAGTTGGAGACATATATCCCTATCTGCAGTCAGTTTTCAAGTCCTGAGAGCATGCCCTGGCCAGAGAAAGCTGTGTGGTCTCTGGGGACAAGGAGCTTCCTGCAGAAGTCGTGCTCTTCCATGCCAAAGACTGGGAATGCAAATTAAGTCTGACTTCAAGGGTAGTCTCCTGTTTTGCTAAACTATAAAAAGGAGGAGTGCTGGCTTATCATGCCTGTTGCAAGGTCTCAGTACGCATTTTTTATGAGATCCACTTCACTGCTATAAAACCATAGCCACGCTGAGGTAGGAGTTGCATGGCTTTCAGTTCTGGAAGCATGCATTTGAGACCTGCTTAACATCTCTCACTAGTAGTGGGCAGTCATGGAAGTGACACACTGTCAATATCTGAGACACACAGTTTTGCAAATCTCTCTCTGGCTGACTGAAACTTGTATTTCCATTGCTTTGTTCGAACTGGGGAAGCTGATATGTGATTCAAACCAATACCCTGGCTCCCTATGCTATATATGTATAATGGGGAGAGGCAGACTTCAGCAAAGCCTGCTCTTTTCCATCAGCAGGGCTGCAAAGCCAGTGCAAAATAGGTTGTAGCAGATGCACGTAAATTGGATGCCTGCAGTAATCTGGGGGAGCACTCCAAAATCTGAACAAATCCTAAGTGGTTCAGGAAAGCATGTTGTTGTTCAGCTGGTGCCAGTCTCGGCTGTCATGGAGAAAGCTAGTATTATGCTGAGGTTTTGTATTGGTTTGTAGTCCACTCTTGTAGATCAGACCTCTAGAAACAGAGCAATAAGGGTGTCTCCTCAAGGCAAATGAAAAATTCCTACTTTGGCAGTTATAAGCTAGCTGACTACGGTGTCTCTGACATTCACCTACATAAAATACCTGAGTATTTCATCCAGTATGTAGACTGCTGTCTTGCGATGCTTTGTGCTATTAAATAGTTGCTGTATTTCTCAGTAGTATTGGGTAGCATGAACTTCTGGTTTTGCATATTTTTGTAATTGTGACTTTTTTTATATTTTAAGTATTTATTTGTAAAGTTCTTTCAGTGATTGGTGCATAGAAATGTAAAATATCATATATGAGCTTATGAAAAATTGCATGAAGTTATTGAGAACAAACATGTATTCTTTTTGTGTGTATATTTTTCCCCTCTAAGGTTCATAACAGTCCTCAGTGTTATGGTTCGGTATATACTTGTCAGAGGTCCATTAGCTTATTTTTTTCAAACCAAGAAGAAATAATTATTTCAGGACATGAAGTAAGAAAAGAAGGAATCAGGTAAGTGTTCTAACTGTGGCTTTTAAAATTTTATTACAAAAAGATTGTGTGGAGTTTGGGAAATTGATGCTTTTTACACCACCCAGAGAAAATAGTTTGATATATACTTTTATTGCTCCCTCGCTGTTCTGATTGGGGCTGATAGAGTTCCAGTGTGATCTGATGTAATGGTGCTGATGTAATAACTGAGCGAGGGTAGCACACACTCCCCCCATGGACCTCGTGTCTAACTTCTCGGCTGTAACCTTATAACGATTACCCATCCCTACTTTGTATAGACAAAGTCTGCAGCAGGCAATTCTAGTTAATCCTTGGTGCATCCTGATACCATTTTGAACAAGGCAGTCATTATTTATTCTTGGTCGCTATACTTAATGTAAGACATAATCTTCTGCTAGACAAGTCTGAATTGGTTGAATCAAAGATCTTAACTCCCCTTTACCCCCTTGGGGCAAAAACTCCACAAAACATCTCTGAGGTACATCAACCCCCCAGATTTGCCAGGTTTTTTTTTAATGAGTAAAAAGGTGAGTGCAAGGCTATTATAAGTATGTTTTAGTGGTTGATAAAGTACAGTAAACTTCAAGGAGTTGTTAAGGTGTTCTCGCCATCCGCTTTGATGTGGTGCTATAGCCATTAACATCCGAGACTGATTGCTACAGTGATACCGTTCATCCTAACAGAAGCAACTTTGGAAGATTAGGATTAGATCTTTGCTGCAATATTATTCTGCAGTGGTCTTTGGCCAAAGAAGGAAGATATACAGTATTTTGGTCAATAGTATTTTCTGTACTGTAAGTTCCTCCATTTGCAGACATATAGCCCAGTGAGGACCCTGTACCCAGAAGGGCTGCTGCTGGTCATAGTGTCATATAGCTCCTCAACGTGCGTGTGCTGGACTTTAAAAATGCAGATGCATTATTCTTTAAAGCCTTTAATTGGTACAACTGATAGGCGTACACAGCAGAAAAGCATTCATTTTTGATAGGTGATACAGAGAAGTAAACAGAAGATGGTAAAACCACGATGAAGAATTGAATGCAAGTGACTGTATGCACGTGGGAAAACGGGTTTAGTGAGTTAGAAGGTGATGTTTTATCCGGTATTTTTCCAGCACTAACCTCATCTCATCTGAGATCTTTGAAGCAGGCTGTTCTGTTTATTCCAGATTAATGTTGCCTCAGACAGTTGGAAATGCTTTCCTTGAGAGACTGGCTGACTATATTCTGGTGAAGACTACCTTTGGTTTTTCTCTTGCTTGGGATGGAAACTCTGGTATTTATATTAAGCTGACAGAAGATCATAAGGGAAAACCTTGTGGCCTCTGTGGAAATTTTAATGGCAATAAATATGATGACCTGATACTGCAAAATAGTAAGTAAATAGCTTAGACATACACCCTTACCTTGTGTGAACAGCTTCCACGATCACTTTAAAGATATTACAGTAAAAAGACAGAGTCCTGTTTCAGTTATTTCAGCAGAAAATAGCGTATCTACTCTACTCTCCCTCATCATTAGATGCTAAGGGAAAAGTTCCCAGTTCAAGAAAGTATTTATATGTAATTTTAAGCCTTTTCTTGCTCAGCAAATCACTTGGGATATGTTTATTTTAGCTGATGAAAGTGCCTTCAAATAATAAATAAATAAACAAATGCTTGTGGTTTTCTCTGTGCTTAAGGATGGAGGGAGAAGGAGAGAAGAGCCAAAACATTAATATTTGGAAAAAGCACCATTTCGAGTTATTCATTTATATGAGTATCATAAAAATGCAAGTTGAAATATGTAAATTTCAAAGCTGTTGCCAAGGAGTTCCTTGTATCTCTTTGTTGGCATGGTGTATTATGGGCCTCTGACTACCTTCTAGAACGAGGAGTTGCCCAATACTGAGTCTGAGGCAGAGATTACTTGCTAAAGTGGCAGAATATTCTGTAGTCTGTGCAGGGAATACTCTACCGGGACTTTTGTTCTACTTGCAAATAATGGGAAAAAAAACCCCAAGCCCAAACCAGCTTGAGAATATGAGGAATATTTTTCTTAGTTTCTGATAAAAACAACGATAGGGCTTTCACTGTTACCATTAATTGCTGAGAAAATCTAGTCCCATAGCCCTGCAGATTCTTAAGTCACAAAGGTTATCTCACTGTGACTTTTTTCCTCTCCTCTGTTTTACCCATTTTTCCTGGTTGATAGTGGAGATTTTTGACTAAGTGAAGGAAGAGACAGTGTACTTGTCTTTGTATTGTCTTTAACAATCTGGCCAATATAAATTTCATACCTATTCTGCCATGAAAACAGTAAGTTCCCTGTTTCATGCATTAACTTCTGCACAGCAGAGTATAGTATGTTCAATAACTAGTTAAAACTGGTGATCTGTAATAATGGAGAAAAAAGGAGTTTGGAGGAGATAATGAATTCATGTGATCTCTAAAAAATAGTAATTTCAGTGTCTTTAAATGTATTATCTGTTATAAAAGACTTCAGCTCTTAGCTTTCTTAACTTCCAGAGCTATGTTTCTTCACCATCATAATTTCTTCTAGCATTTTTCTTTATCAGAAATGATAGTGTTTCTTTAGTGTGCAATCAAGAGTGCTATGAATCATTTTAACCTTGAACAAGTTGTATAACATGGTGCCTTGATTCTGTGCAAACACAAAGCATGAAGTTCTGATGTCTTCACAAGAACAGACTGCTAATTCAAATTACTTCTAAGCCACAACATTTTTCTAAGTGTTTCCAAATCTTACAAATCATCTGAGACGAAGATATATCTCCCCCAGCTAAACTACTTTCCCCAGTAGTGTAAGGGAAGTTCTTATAGCTGCCCTGCGTCTCCCAGAGTCTGAATGCTCTCTAGTTGCAATGCGCCAAGTAAATAAGTGGCTGAGAGGCATGTAATACTCCATTTCAAAGCACAGTTTAAAAACAAACTCATTTTCTGTTTCCTTATCTTCACTTTCAATGGCATCTTTGTATTACTTTAATACACAAGGCTGTATCTGCGTATAGAACTGTTTCAAGGACAGTGATTTTATTTTGAGGACTTAGAAAATATTTTCAAGCCATGTCAAAATGTAAATAAAATATTTTTAATGTTTTTGCAGAATCAGAGGTATGCCAACAGGTTTACCTCTAGATCAAACCCCAGCTTTTTATGTTTGGGAAGGGTTTTCTGCATGAAGAACTACTCTGTCAGAGAGGGAGAAATGTTTTAACTCTCCCTGGCTCTTACGTAAAATACACTGGTGGTTAGGATCATATCTTTGTTTATTTGTGGAGATCCAAGTACAAATATCTGATTGGTGTGCTTTGGGGCTTTTCACATTCCAGAGTGTCAAACTTTGTACATCTTGTGCTGGAAGAAGTTAGATTAAGTTTTGGATAGTACAGCTCTGTGAAAAAAACTGTAGCTGATTTCATTTCAATACCCTGTCTCCTAACCATGTACAGATATAGACAACCGTAGCATAGATACCAATTACTGTAAGGTTCTTCAGGGTGGAGGCAATATACCCTTTTTAACATACTTAAGAACATAGAGAAAATGTAATATTTAGTTCTGGCTGCAAAATTATGGAAATTTTGGTTCTGTTTCTTTACTGCCAGCTTTCTTGTATGTTCGTGTATCTTCCTCAGCCTGTTGCCATGACTTCCAGTCATGCATCTTCTTCATTAATTCTCCCATGCTTATGCTGTGAGGAGAGCTGGGCATGCAGTGGTCCGTTTGTTGTAGGGCTTTTCCGCAGCAAGGGAAAAGGAGGGAGATAATAGTGCTAACTGAAATGTGATGAAAGCCTTCAACTGTTTTAAAGAAATGGATTTTTTCTTAAGTATTCCTTGTCCTTATTTGTATATGTGTTATAAAATTTTCAGTGATTGTACTTAAAAAAACCCAGCAAGCACCTTGTCGTATTTTTTTTAATCTTTTCATTTAAATGTAGTATAAAATACTACCTGAAAGTAAAAAAGAAAAATAACGTTTTCCTACACCACCTGTACTTTGAACATAACTGTAATTGAGGTAATAAACACATTGAAAAACTACCCAAAATTTCCAAGCTGTCTTTTGTGTTTGTGTTGACAAGTTGGTTTTTTTCCTGAATGCTCTGCCAATGTTTTCATGCAGTAGGTGAATATACAGAAGACATTGCTGAATTTGCAAATAGCTGGGCTGTGCAAACCTCAGATGACATCGCCTGTGTACCTACTGCCTCAGATTTTCCCAGTCCTTGCTCAGCTGACACAGAACTCACTGAGGTAAATTAATCATGTTTTTATGTATATATTTTCTTAATCTTCACTGCCTAGTAATGATACAAGAATCCAGCAATATACACCACGTTGAAAAATGCCCTCAATGCATTGAATCTTTGAGAAATGCAAGATTCAGATCAGGACTGTTGCTAGCAAATATCTGAAGGTCTTCAGATACTTAGCTCAAAAGTACAAAGGTTCAGATAAGATGTGCCAAGTGGCACAGGTCTGCTGGCAGAGCTCTTCGTTGCTGCATTAAACTTGGGTTCAGTTTCCCGTCCTGGCATCTTACACCTCACCTTATTTCGGAAAATGTGAAATACGGCAGAAGTAACATGCTCAGCTCCTGCATTGACACAAAATGGTTTTTTTTTTTTGTCATTTCACACTCTTTTATCCCACCTGGTTTAGAAGCAGCATGCTATCAAGCCAGCCTAGGCAGAGAGGACAAATTTTAGGAAGAATAATAAAAGAGACATAATAATAAATTGAGACTGTGAGATTCTCAAATTTTCATGGGGACATAAAGGACCCTATATTAAGGAAACAAAGATAAAAAGAGTTATGCTTGTTCAGAAAGTATTTGCTAACTGTCATTTATTGGTTCTCCTTAATGCGCAGGACATATTCTTCAAGTGCCAAATATTCCTACAGTTTCCTTTTCTCAGCTGTCACGAAAGCATAGATCCATATTCTTATATTTCAAGCTGTATGAATGATCTTTGCAGGTAAGACTGAAGTTCTCATGTATTTATTTTTGATACGTGACACGAGTTGCTCACTCTTTCATTTGAGACCAGAACTGAGCAGCATTGAGGGAAGTTAGGAGGAATCAAGTTCAAAGCGAAAGAGATGGGGATTCTCAGTGGACAATTTAGTGTGGAAACAAAGGGCACAGAACCAGCCTGACAAGCCATAATTTGATTGATAAAGATTTACATGGATTCAAGGAAATACTAGTCAAATACATGGAAGAGAAATCTGTGGAGAATCACTAATGACAAAAAAGGAACTGTTAATCACAAAAACCTCTGAAACCTGTATCTGGAGGTCCTGAATCAGAAATACACGGAGATGTCACTTGGGGGAAATATCAATGATAGTGGAGGAGCTGGACCATTTGTATGACATAGTAGAATTGCTTTTATGAGCAACCCCTATGGTTCAAATTAGGAGAGTTTTTCAAAATTGTTTTATTTATGTAAATTCAGAGTTGTCAAAAGAAATTCAACTACAGTTGGCTTTGGACGGAGTTATACCTCCTCAGCTGCTGGCATTATATGCAGCCTGGTATTTTTCCCTTAGCTCTCCAGACTCCTGTTTAGTTCTTGACAGTCATTCAAGTTAAACTGGTGCTCCAGACTTAATTGAATAGATGACTTTGCAGCATATCACTTCCCTTTTACTAGGGTTTTTAAATTAAGAAGTAATTGTTATAAATAGTAGGATTTTTTACCAGATACTATTATGCCTTCTCAGAATATCATCAATTTAATCTAAAACATACAGAAAAGATCGCAAGATTAAACGTAAGAATCACTTAGTAGCATCCATTACAACTTGTTAGTTCATTTTTGATGAATTTTCAGTTTTCTGCTTTGCCATCAAGTCACAATGGAAGAATTTGTGTTTGTAGGCAAACCTCCAAAGTTTGCTTCCTGAAGTTTATGATCTGTACATTGATTTTTTTCTCAGGGAAGAGATGAGTTGCATCTATATGGTCACTTTGTAACTCAGGCATTTATTGTGACTTTTTCTTAGCAAAAGAAGAATAATGAAAAGCAGTTTTTCAAATGTGATATTGAATCACTGTCATGATGTTAAGGTGGATTTGATCTGTGTTGATGAGAACTGTGTGAATGTTAAAAACCTTGAAGGAAGTTTCTGTGTCTCAGAACCTCATTAATTTGGGCTTATTTTGTTTATAAAAGAGACCTCTTTTCTTGTGGCTTAGTGTCAGTTTATGAAGTTTCTTGTGGGGCCATGGTATATGCCAAGTATTCTTTCTATTAAGACCCATCTAATTGGATTAGATAAGGAGAGCTGGAGAGACTGGAGAGACTCTGATCACTGTAACAAAGAGTATACTGGTGTTTGATTTGATAACAGATGTGTTGAAAGCAGAGTACAAACATGATATAATATATTCTTAAGACCATTAGTACTGGAAGCATGATCTTGTGTGCTGAAAGACAAACTCAGCTGATCTGTCACGGTCATGCTTATAATAGAAATGTTGTGTTATGACTATTTTGTTTTGGCATCAAGTCTTCCACAGTGAGTGATGGGACTTGCTGGACTTTCACAGTAACAAAAGGTTCATGGTATCTTTCCTTATGTGACTCACATCTGAATAAAATTTGAGCTTACCTAAACACTGATGAATGTTTCTTTACATGATCCTGGCAAAACCACACTATACAGCTTCTTCTGTACAGACTATAGCAGAGATGATGTCTTTGCCCAAGGTCACACTGTAAATCCCTAAGCCTGTCCACAGTATTCAGTAGATAATGCTTCTGGCATCGACCACTTCAGCACAACCAGAACCAACAGGGTTCTCACCTAAGTTCAAGGACTGACAGGCAATTGGAAACTTGAACTTGTCACTTGGTCCAGAATGCCTTTTATTAGTGTAGGTCAGAGTTTCCACGTTGTGCAGGAGGGAGAGGGCCTGAGACATGGATCTTGAGACCATTGAGTTGCCCATTGTCTTCAAGACAAGGTCATGTTTCTCTTTCATCATAAGCAGCTTTTATCTTTTTTGTAATAAATTAGTAGTTTTGTTGCTTGTGGTAATATTAAAACGAATAACTTTTTGTAATATCAAATGATAAAAACACAACAGTGTATTCAGTATAGCTCACTCCTTTTCATAGCATTTTCACTGTGCACCATTATGACTGAGTCATGTCAGCTATGTGTGAAGTATCCTGTGGAGTCTCATGGCAGAGATTTGTAGATGGGATCTGAGTTCCTTGATTACTGCCTTGTTTTATCATTTCAGAGTGGATGATGACGAAACGTACTGCAGGGCGGTGACAGAGTATGCTAGAGCATGCTCTCACGCTGGGTCCCCGGTGCGGGACTGGAGGGATGACTTTCCTGCCTGTAGTAAGACTATTTAATAAAGCATACTATGTGACCTTTGAAACACCCCATGTATCCATTTAAAATAATTCCATCTTGACAACTTTTGTCACTGTAGCACTCAAACCTGATACTGAAGTAGATCAGCCAGCTTCACTACTTCTGGTGATCAATGAAGTCAATGACTTGCTAGAGGAATATTTTAATTCCATTGTGATCTGATCTAGATCCATACAAAATTAATGTTTCCACAGATTGCTTGAAACAAAGAACAAATATCTGTGGAGATCTGTTGTTCCCCCTCTTCACACATGACCTTTCAGCCTCTACTAGTGCTATAACAGAATTAATACAGTTAATTGAGCTCCTATCACCACCCCCCATCAATTTCAGTTCAGTCTCATGCACAAGACTGATCTAGCTGAGATATAAGCACGTTTCCCTGTCACAGAAACTATAACTTCTTTTGGAGGGGTGATGTAAGAATTCGTTAAAGACAGACTTAAATACTGGTGAGAGATTCATCACAGTTCATAAGTTAAAACCTCTCTAAACAATCCATTGTTCCTAATCTGAATAATTACCTATACCAGAAACACTGCACAACTGTTCATTTGAGAGAGAGATGTTCTCCAGTATGGAAAGAGAATTTGCATTAAGTTCAATGTACCATGTATTTTTTCTAGCTGAGAAGTGTGAAGACAGCTTTGTACACCGTGACTGTATCAGTTGCTGTCCACCAACCTGCACATTTGAAAAAGATTGTCTCGGCAGCAACCTACACTGCTTAGATGGCTGTTACTGTCCAGATGGTAAGTACTGTCAATTTAATGTGGAAAAATATGTGTGAAGCTAATATCCATCATAATAAAGTTGTCTAAATAGACTGTTCCTAAAGTTAAAGCCAGAAAATATAAATATTGTAAATTCTGCTCTAGTTGTTGTTATTCTCACTGTGATTTTTCCTTTTATTGTTCTCTAAATTTTTCTCTAGAATACAAAGGCGGCTCAGAATGAAATACCAGTTAAAACCTGGAGCCATAACTAATACTTGCTACAATAAGATACTGCATAGATTTCATTCACTTTAGTTGAATTATTCCAAAATCTATTATTTTGTTTAAAGAGAATGTGTCTTACGCTCTGTACAAGAAAACAAACTTCCTGAAACCTGTACTTAATAAAGATTAGGGATCAGACTATAAACAGTCCTGTTCTAGAAGGAATAAAGATTATGTGATCTCAGAATCTTTTCATTTTGTAAGTCTGTACACTTTTACATGCTAAAGGCAGGTATTTTTCACAAAGCAACTATTCAGAGTGACAACTGCTTTGAGAGAGATTCACTGTTCATTGCTGAGCACTCTGCACTCTCTGTGTGACTATTTTTGCTGGTCCCTGGTTGAGACTGATGAGATCACCTTCTGGCAGATTTGAATGTTTGAGTCAGATGGGGGAAAAGCAGTGATCGGCGTTTGTTAAGTTGTTTTTTATCTCATTTATTAACTTCCCTCCCAATAGGTCTCATTATGGAAAATGGAACTTGTATCTCTGTGTCGAATTGTCCTTGTATTTATCATGGATCTGCCTTCCCTGTAGGCTCAAAAATTGAACAAGAATGTAGCAAATGGTATGTCAAAGCCCTTCATCCGTGTTTCCTCTCACTGTGACTGCTGCCCATAGTTGGTTTAACATCATAATCACACTTATGTTTAAAGAATGGTTAGAATCTATGTTTTATAGTCATGCGTATCAGTAAAATATGCAGGCTATTCTATGGAGAGGGTGAATTCAAGACATATTAACTAGCTCAAAGTTGCTCTTTTTGCTAAAGATCAGAACACTGAATTTCTGTGCTTTGTGATTTTTCTTTTTAGTATTTGTATTGGTGGCATTTGGAACTGCACTGATCATGATTGCCCAGGTATCTGTACTTCATTATTCTTTTCTCTTCTCAATGAATATAAGACATAACCTTTTCAGAAGACAACACAACTAAATATGATCCAAGGGCTTGGGATGCTAATTTAAGAAGCAAGATTAAGCAGATGGATGTTGAAAGTAGCAGTGGGCCAGCTGGGGTGAAGCTGTTAACTGCCTGACCTTGTGCATCTTACGTTTTTCCATTTGCTTCCCCAACTCAGTGCCTTACATCCACCTCTTGTTTTCTATCTCCCATTTACTCTCTGTGTTCTTTGGGGCAGGAGGCTTATTTTTACTGCCTGTGCAGTACCTGGGCCAGGTATAAGGATCTGCTCAATTCTAGGTGCAACTGTAAGCAAATGATAAGAAAAACATTGTTTTGATGCTCAGTGTGCTGTATTTTCTCCCTTGTAACAGTAGTTCACGTTTGGATAAAGATCCTTATCTTTAAAGATTTCATGTCTCTGTAATGAGTTACCCAGAGGACATGCAATAGTTGTGTAGTGAAACTCTTGACAGTTCTGTATCTTGGACAAGATTATACTACAAAACTTGTGAAAGAGAGAATTTTTTACAAATTAAGGAGCCTCTTCTGAACGAGGTAATAAACAAGGTGTAACAGTCACTAAGCAAGGCTTGACAGGGTGGATCTGTAGTGTAAAACAGTTGACACTGAGAACCACTCCGTATGTCTTGTGTGTGTTGTGTATGCATGGCAGGGCTTAATTATGACTACTCTAGTCTGGTCCTGGGGACTAAATGCCTGTTAGTAGCAGGAGCTACTCCCACAGAGCGCCTCCTGCAGTAGTTGCAGCCAAAATGAATCTAGTTCATATGCTCTGACACTGCCGCGTTGTGTGAATGAAAGTGCGGTAAATGGGGATGCGCTGGAGACTTGCTTCAACAGTGCGCTCCTGATCTGAACAGAAAAATGAATATAGACGCACCCTGAGAACAGACACCTGCAGCCTCTTCATACCTGTGGTAACAAGCAGTGCCATAGTACCTAGAAGGAAGGAGAAAGAAGCTTGTGCTTTTTCACACTCAGTCATGACAAAAGATGATGAGGAATATTCCAGGAAACTGCGGATAATAATAAGAGAAGGCTCTTGTGTATTTCAGAAAACTCATGACTCAAAGGCATCTCGTCTTGTTAGAACTAAAAGATGCTGCACAGTGCTGTGTGCTACACAAGGTGGTATCTGATGGCAATGGGTGTATATAACATATTTTACTTCCAAATGCCATAATAGCTAGGTAGGTTAAAGTTAGCCTGGATTATGTGCCTAGAAATAGGGAGAAAGTTTCTTATTTATCTCTCTTCCATCATTTACATAATAATTATACATTCTTATGCAAGTGAACATTCTTTTTTATTCTTTTTCTCTCAAGCCGAGTGCTCAGTCACAGGCAGCTCTCATTTCACAACATTTGATGGACGTCATTTTACTTTTCTTGGGATTTGCCAGTACATTTTGGTAAAAGGCACTGGGAAAAACAAATTCACAATCACTTTACAGAAAGCACCTTGTGGACAAGTAAGTCACATTTTCATTGAACATTCACAACAAACGTGTACATCCATATTTCAGGCAATCTTTTATAGGTTTTATTGTAAACCACTGGCTTATGTTTAACAGAAAAATATCATAAATTGAAACCATTTTACAGGTTTTTTTGTAAGTTGTTGTATTGCTACATGTTGTATTGCCCTTTGTAAAATCAATTGCATCTTTAGAGGGATAAAGTCTGAAGAGTTATTCATTTATGCACTTTAAATAAGTATATACATCTTTGGTTATGGTACAAACAGGTGTCTCAGGCTTTAGAAAAGCTGTTGCTGGCAGCACTGAACAGGTTTAATACACTGCTAGTTAGGCAAGAGATTTTTTTTTTGGAAGCTTTAAATTTTTATTTGTTACGTTATGGCATATTTCATTTGTTGGAACAATGCCTTTTAGAACACTATTGAAGAGAATAGCCAACACACGTATTGTTTGAAAGCATTTTGTCAGGTATCCAACAACAGGCTTTACAAATAGAGGTGCTTATAAAAAGTACTTATCTGTGAGACTGGATGTAATGACGTTATTAGTCACCTAGGCTCTCAGGAGGGGGGTTTCTCAGACTGTGACTCACAGCCACCCATGTGCTGAGGGCTGGCATGCCTCAAGTCATGGGCAGGGAGTAATGCATTGAAGCTGCCCTACTGTATGAGTGTCTTTCATGTCCCTTCAAGACTGAGATTATGAGCTGGTGCCTCTGCTTTTTGTAGGCACGTCCTTCTGCATAGGTGTTGAGATTTTTGTTTCTGCATTTCAGGTGGCCTCAAGCATGAAGCGATTGGTTAGGTAGCCACTGAGAGACAAGGATGCTACTGCAAATGACCCTTAGCACAACTCTAGGCACCTCGGAAAATTCCTGGGTGAAATTACAGGGGCTTCGGGGACCATAAGATGCTTGGTTTAAGCTGGTTATGTGTCACCTTTTGTCCTGTACTTAAGTTCATAAATTCTGCCTGGATAGCACTTTAAAATGATGGGTGTGATCTAGTTTATAAGTCACCATTTTTTGATAGTCAGATATTTATAAAATATTTTAGTGTAATTCTGGGGAAATTGTATCCTTTCACTGCAGAGATCAAGACTAGGTTTCAAGATGGAAGAGAAGCACCTTCATGTGTGCAATAGTATTTTTTTTCCTCCTGCTCGCTGCATTTGGTCTCTGGTTGCAGCAGCTCCACAGAGACTGGGTGAGACCCAGCAACGAGGGGTAGCCAGAGTGGCCATGAAAGTATGGCCTTTTGAACTCAGTATCAGTACTTGGGGACCTCTGTCCACTTACCACTAGACTGCCATAATAGCTAAAATGCATTCTCCTTGCTCTTATATTCATGTGCAATGTTTTATTATGTTCTACATACAATTTTGGGTGCTCTATTTCATACTTGGAGTGATAGCTTACAACTGATTTACTTGCTGACAGTTCTGATATTTCCTTTCTATACAACTGTTTTCTCCCCCTGTTTGTTTGTTTGTGCTTTCTATCGTAATATTAATGTCTTTGCCTGTTTCTGATGGTGAAACTTGTTTCTACTTAGAACTTTGACCACGCCTGCATTGAGTCTATAACACTAGTTCTTGAAGACGATGTGAGCAAACAAGTAACTCTCACAAGATATGGTCAAGTCCAAACTGGCCCTAACCAAGTTTTTAACCTTAATGGTAAGAAATGCATGGAGTAGAAGTTTGCTAGGGTTCAAATTCTTTCTTTTATATGCTCCAAAGCTTTTTAATAATGTGTGTCTGTGAAGAAGGAACTTCTTCAAACATAACTTATGAAATATACAATCACTTACTTCTTGTAACCTTAGCAATGGCTCTAGAAATGTACTTTTTCAGCCTGTGAAAGGGCCCTTCATTATGCCCTCGTTTCTTTGCATTTCTTATCTTGCAGAGTACCTAGAAATTCCACTCATTTTGTTTGTGTTTAGGGGGAGGAGGTAAGAAAAAGAAGGGAGGTGAAGAGAGGGTGGAAATGCTGAAATTAAGGTCTAGCTTGATTAAAGCTTTTTGAAATAAATGGCATGTAATAAAAACCACGTGCTTTACAGGATCTAAGTTGCTTTCAGCGCTGACTTACATTGTGATTTCAGGCAGATTACTTCACCTTTTTTGAAAGGATAGTAAGATAAATCAACCTGAAATAGATGGTATAAAATTAAGCACTGTAGGTGGAAATTATATTGCTAAATTTTGTATTTAATGGTGATTAGTAGTAAATTCTTATTGGATTTTTAGTCTCTTTCAGTAAAAGCAAAGTGGTAGTTCCCCTTCCCTTTCCCAGTCTCTGGCAAAAGAGAGCTTAGGGAGTTCTGTGCTGGTGGTTGCAGCTATGCTTTTTCTTCACTGAATTTGTCCAGTCATAGTTCTGCTTTGGGCATTTGCAGCTTCCTATGGCAATAAGTTTCATATCTCAGTTATACTTTCAGTCATGTTGAAAGTTCTGCTTCATAATTTGATCGATAATTCCATTTTATGTCTTTTGAATCAGTCCCTATTCACTTTCTTGTCTCCTTGCATAGTCTGCATCAAATATATGACAAATATTTTGATGTCACATTCTTGATAATTAGGTGTCATCTATTAAGCCTTTTCAGCTAAGAACATCTTTAAGCTGACATAAGCATTTTATCTGCCTCTTGTCAGTTTATGCAGCTAAGTGTGTGCGTATGCATGCGTAGAGGCTGCTTGTGAAGGTAGATATGCTTTAAGCCTGCAGCTGCAAGTAGCCCAACAATGTGTAGCAAAAGAGTGCTGTGACTGTGAAATTTCCATTTCCTTGCATAATGGATTTGCTGGGAAGGAAAGCTGGGAATTTGATAGGGCCTTAGTTCACATACAATCTAAGGAAAGAACTACACTGATGTCATATTAATACTAGTTAGAGGGAAACTTCAATCTGAGGACTGCAATACATTTTACAGACATCTGTTAATTAATCTTATAATATCCCTGGGGGCTAAGAAACAAGTGGTTTCTTGTCTTGTCTTCTCATTGCCAGAGGCATGCTGTTGCATTGCTTTCTTCTCAAAAAAATGAAATATGAGAGGGGTTTCTGGATAACTCACAGGTACAGAAAGGTGAGAGATTTTTTACTGTTGACAGTAGTTGCAATTGATTTGTGTTGCTAATGAAAAAGATTTGTAGTCTCATAAGTTCACATGGACAATGGGTGAGGTTGTTGGCTGCAGGTGAGGTTGTGCATAGTTTCTCATTTTATTTCTGAGTTTTCAAAATCTATTTTCTTTAAGGCATATATCGATACAACCTGAAAGTTGCATTTCAGTGACTTTGTTTTTCTTTTGCTATATGCAGGGGCTATTGAAATTCAGAATATATCTTCTTTGTTTGTTCAACTGAAAACTAGTTTTGGTTTGAAGATACTGTTTGGTAAAGACGGAGAGAGAATCTATGTTCAAGTTGATGTCAGCTGGAAGAGAAGAACATTGGGACTATGTGGAACATACAATGGGAATTTAAGAGATGATTTTCTGTAAGTTGTACATTGTACATTTAGACTGTTTAACAACATGAAAAGTTTTGTTTAATGAAATAATCTGATTAATTTCATTAAACTCCTACTTTATTAAACTAATCAATACAAAATCTCTTAATTAAATGTTAGTTTTAAAAATATGAAACATAACTGTAGCTAAGTCATTCTAGAAAATTACTATATTATTTATAGAAGTTATTGGTTGGTGATATTGCTTGAATACACTTTTTTCCCTCCCTGCTGCTCCCTTACCATCAGAACAAAGACATGAACACTGACAAAAAGAGCAGATGATAATACTAGTAGCATCCTCACCTGATTAACAATTACTACTGTTTGATTTTTTTTCCACATCATGTTTAAATGGAAAAAAAAGAATTAATTCTGAACCACAGGAACAGTTTAATTAGAAGAGCACACTTTCCTTTTTATTTGACTTTATTTCCTCCAAGCTATAATATTGCAAAACTTTTCTAGCAATAATAAATGCTTTTGAAATACTTGGTGAAAAACAGTATCAAAATGCAAACAATGCAGCTCTAGAATACTGAAATTAAATAACAGGTCAAATTTTTGATATTTCACTGAACGTATATACTGAAAAAAAGGCCAAATTCTGCTGTCATTAATGTCTCCTCCCACTGATTTCAGAGTACTTGAATTAATCACAAGTGAGGACAGACTTTGAAAGTAAGAATATTTTTGCATAAGTAAAATATTGAGGAAAAAGCTTCAAATACCCTCTCTTCTTTTATACCTCACAGGTGGAAATTCTTTTGACACATTGAATGTTCAAAGTGACTATGCACCTAAGCCTTTTTGACGTTCTCGCATCTTCACCCATGTAGTCCATAAAGTCAGCAGGACGCTTGCAGTATTGTAAGGGACCCCACAGCTTCATGCCAATGCATGGAAGGTTTCCTCAGCTTGTTCTGTGCCTATCAATATTCCTGTGGTTGATCCCTGCAACGTTAATCAGCAAAATGGTATGTTTTCATGTAGGAGTCTGAAATTAGCTGTATCTTATCATTATGGGACACTTTTGTTTTCTCTGTGAATGAGTTGCGCTGTTACTTCCTATTCATTAATGAATATATATGTGTATTTTAACTTCAGTTTTAGATACACACTCATTCTTTCCTTTTTCTTTTTTTTTGGCAAAAAGCATTCCTTCCATGCATTTAGCATGTAACATGAAGTAAGCCCTTCGTAAATACAAGCATAAATGCAATACATTTAATGCTGGGTGTACTGGCCATGAGTCCTAAATTCTTCTGTATAATAAACATGCAAAGTGCTAGGCTACACCGTCTGTAGTCCTGTAAATTGTTCCAGTTAAAAGGAATGATGTGATGCACGTTTGTAGATTGACAAAGAAAGTACAGGAGACAGTGTCTTGCCGAGACAGTGTTCAGATCAAAAGTCGTGTCTCCAGCTTCTCTATGTTTGTCTAAGTTGCAATAAAAAGTTTTCTTATCCTCCATCTATGCTCTCTGACACAGAATGATGCAAACAATCAGATCTGTGGATTTGTTCAAATTCCTGAGTAAAGATTTGGTTTTGGCTGGTTGACGTGCATATGTTTTGCGCTGAACTTTCACTGTCTCCTTTCCACGTTGCTGTTCTTTTCAATTAATGAAGACAATGAGCAGAAAGTACTTGCCAATTCTGACAGAATTTAGTCTAATGTTTTTAATGTTTCAGACATAAGGCCTGACTAGGGATGTGGGATTTGGCCATATTTAGAGCCTGTGGGAGCAAGCCCAAAATAACCATAAACCTTTAAGAATCTGGGACATTCTAAGACTTTTTATGCCTCCAGCATCGGCTGTCTTCTAAAGCAGTACCTCTCAGCCAAATTAGCTCTCTCCAAGACACTTCCTGCCTCACCTTCAGTTCTGTGCTTCCTCAGTAAAGGTGGAGTTTGACATAAATGTAAGCTGCTTAGAGCATGAGGGTGGACTACATGACCTTCTGATGTCCCTTCCAGCCTGAATTTTCCTGTGATCCTGTAATCATCACTGGAAAAAGCAGTCCCTGAGTAAGTGGTCCTGCCCCATGCTACCACCTGTGCTGAGCCAGCACAAGCGTCTTTCCAGGCCTGTGATGATCTTAATCTGATGAAACTGAAAAAGAAATGATAGGTTGTTTGTTTACTTATTTTGTCAGGTTACTTTTCAACCAAGTCAAGTTCAGTCCTTGAATCTAATTTACTGAGAGACTCCAGAAATTCTTGTTTCAGTGTGTGTATGTGGGAGTGAACAGGGAGGATGAAGGGTAGGGACACACCTTTAGCAGCAAAATTGGCTTAAATATGATCCACACTATGGTGTTCCTGAGATATTCCACCACTTCTGGTGGCAGTATGCTTCAGTGGTGGGAGGAGAGTCTGTTGGCACTGGAAGGGATATGGCCAATATGGGACTTGTATGCCCCTGAGTTCCAGCTTCCTGAGTCCACAAGCCAGGAAGTATATGGCCATTGCTAATTTCAAAGGTAAATGAAACATCAAGTAGGAAAAAACATGTTCCAAGATTTGGAGGGCTCTTCTAACTCTTTTGAAATATATTATTTTGCCATTTAAGTTTCCTGCACTACTAGAGGAAGGCATAACTGTTTTCATATAGTTACTTTTCTCTTATGTGGAGTTTATTGTTGAGGGAGTTGCTTACAATATCAGTTTTAAACTATAGAACTTTGCAGAAAGACATTGTATACAAGTCTTTGTTGCGCAACTGGCTATGTTTGGTTTTAATATTCTGCGCTATCCATTTGGCTCATATTAAAATGGATCTGGCTAAAACAATGTCACCTTCGCTTAGCTGGGTATGCATCTCACTGTGATATCATCAATCAAGACGTTTTTGCTCCCTGCCATGCCTACATCAGCCCAGGATTATACTACCAGCTATGCCGCTTCGACGCGTGCAAATGTGGAAGCAGCTGCTTGTGTAATGCTCTGGCACACTATGCTTATGTCTGTGGCAAACATGGGATCATCGTTGACTTCAGATCTCATATTTCTTACTGTGGTGAGTAACGTTTGCAGAATGGAGTATCTTTTAGAAATGTGTAAAATTCTACAAATATCATTCGCTCCACAAAATACAGGCATTGACCTCTTTTGCTGGAAACTAGAATTGTACCGTGGGCTAATGACATACTCAGAGGAGAATGCTATAGGCTTTATGTTAGGTATCTGAGTTGGGGACCCTGCACTGCCTCACAGGGTGTGCCTGTCCCATTCTGTTGGCAACAGAGAGAATTTAAATTTCTGACTTTGAGCTCCTAAGTCATATGGAAGCTCCTATTAGGCTAAAGTAGTCAGGGAGAGGCAGAAACCGGGCTGCTCCCTAAGCGAAGGCAAGCCAGGGTGTTAGGGGCTCCCCAGGGGGAACAGGGCAGGGCAGGCAGTGATTTGCCAAGTAGGTTACAGCAATGATTTAAAATAAGGCATTTCTAAACCATAGAGTAATGCCTCAACCTTAACTGGACCATCCTTCCACTTGGAAGGCTGAGTTATTAGATAGACACACCCACCACCACCATGCCTCCCCTACTTAACATATGCCTGCTGCTTACAAAATAGACAATTCTAGCCAAGGAATTGTCTAACATAAACCCACCTAAATCTAATAATTTCTAACTTAAGAAATCAGTAAAAAAAAGCATATTTTTCTCATGCATTTTAACTCACCCTAGTGCAGCAAGAGATCATTTTGCTTTGCTGTTTTGCACTCCCATGATATACTGCTTTGTTCTGTTTTTCACATTTTAAGAGTATGTTGTTCTCCCTTCTCTCTCCCTCTCTCTCCTCCAGCTGTGATGTGTCACAGTGGTATGCTTTATCATCAGTGCTCTTCTTTTTGTAAACACTCCTGTGCTTCACTTTCTATGGCAAATATCTGTGGCGATGACTGTGCAGAAGGATGTAATTGTCCTGATGGGAAATATTTTGAGGAGTCGGTCAACTTTTGTGTATCAATGTAAGTCATAAGAAAATAGAATATATGCATGACACATTTTCCTCTTTCCAGCAAGACTTAAAGTAAGTTTTGCTGCTGTTTCCCTCAAGATGTAGACTGCCTAAACAGGATAACAGGTTTCATATTCTTTCGTACTAATCAATAGTGGGCCCTCATCTGCTTCTGTGTGTACACCCATCTTCTGCACTTCAGAGAAGATATGTAACACTGCTTTAGAGAAGGGTAATGAAACATTTTTAATTCATGGGAAAACATGTTCACATTAAAACCTTGTTTTTAACACTCAAGAAAAAATGAGAAGGAATGTACGTAGTAGCAATCTGTTGAGTCATGGATAGTATGGAGACAGTGGCCATGAGTGCCTTTACTCTGTCTCATAATACAAAAGCCTTCAGTTAAATGGAAGGAAACGGTCAATGAAAGGAAATAGATTTTGTACATTGTGTACCAAAATTTTACAGCTTACCACCATGGGGAGTTACTGAGTTCAGGTACAGAATTAAAAACTGGAATGAATATTTTCATAAATTTCAAGATTATACAGTTATTGCTGTTCATTGCGACATATATTGTTGAAAGATGACTGAAGTTCATACCATAGGGATAAAGACTGTTTCAAACAATTAAAGAGTGTGAGGTAACTTGGTATTCCCGTATTTTTGCATGGTTTCTAGGGAATTCTGTTGCTACTTCTGTCTCATCTGGCCGTTATCACAGACAGAGTTAATAGATTTTGCTATGATAATTCCTCTGTCCCATGATTTTGACAGTACTTTGACTAGGAACTACATGTTGCCATACTCTTCCCATAACTGGGAACAAAAGTTACTTTCTATAAGACTAATGCACAGAAACAGCACATAATATGGAGACTGAAGAAAATCCTGGCTTTGTCAAAGACAGTGGGAGTTTTGCCATTGACTTCAATACAGCCAGAGTGTCATTTTTTAATTTTTGCCTTTAGAAGTATACTGTAAATATAAATAAAAAGATTGATTTAATGAATTTTAAGGCCTGCTTCTCATAATAGCTTGATAAATGGGTTGCCCTTAAATCCCATTTCATTTTGCTTTTTTATCTACATGCACAAATATTCTTTTAACAGATCTGCCTGTCACTGTCATTACAAAGGCAAAGCCCTCCAGCCTGGAGAAATCCTCCCTACACCAACAGGCTCCTGGTAGGTTTGAACGCCAAGAGTTTTATCTTTCACGTGTCACAGTTTGGATGCCACTTAAGAGCCCTGAGAATGAAGGTCTATTGTATCAAGATTTTATTTTTGTTACATGCTTAGTAAAAGGGAGATTAATATAAATTGTATTATCTACCTGCTTGTTTTAACACCAGGATACCCAGAAAATTCTGTAGGCCAGGGACTAAAGAGTATATAAAAACATGGACATGGAGGCTCTAGTCCTGTTCTTAGACCTGGAGGCATGAGATAGCAGTGTGATGCTGGTTTCCAAAGAATAAACAATGGGATTCTATTTTGGAAAGTCTGTCAAACAGAGGCGTGCAGGGAGCTATATTTGTGTCATTTTGTATTGTTAATTCATGATGGAATCCTGACCTCACTGATACAAATGGGGAAACCTCCCAGGTTTCCTGGTCGAACTTGTTCATTTTACAAGAAATGGTTTCAACACGCTGATTTAAAATCATGTCTGTGACTTGAATGTCAAGGTTGGCTCTTGATAAGTTCTTATATATTATAGTTGTTATAACTGAAGCTTGGTAATTATGTAGCTGAAGAGGTGAGAGCAGGGGCTTCATTTTTTTGCCATTGCTACACCTCTCCAATGCTCTGGTTTTTTTCACTTTTTTTTTTTTTTGAGGGAGAGGTTAAGTTTTTAAGGAAGATGTTAAGAGATTGGGTTAAGTTGTATTACCTTCTTTAACATGGTGGCTACAAAACATTTGACCCTTGAATAAAGATGGGTTTGCTTTTCTTTTCCAGTCAATGTTTGAATGGAACAGTGAAATGTATTGAAGCCACTACAGAAAATACAGGTGATTTACAGTCTCATCTCATATTACAGTTGCACAGAGAAAGTTTTTGACATTGAATAGTCATTTGGTTTTCTCCTCATATGTTTTTTCATTATGAGATACTGAACTGCATGGCATATCTAAAATAGGAGGTTAGGAACACAAGTTGCCGTGTTTTTTTCTTTTTCCTTTTTCTATAGCACAAATTGTATGACTAAGTCTTTTGGGAAATAAAAAATTCCTAAATACATGTGAGGTGTAGGTCAATATGTTCTCTTGTGAATACCTAAAATTAGGCTTACTATCCATGTTTAGGAAACCTTAGGAAGCCTTGATTTCTAGAAAGTAAATTTTTAATGAATTTCTCATAGATTCAGAAGGGATTTCAGTAGATTGAAAATTATGCCACTTCTAAGGATTCTGTCTACCTATGGCATAATGACTTAATTTTTAAGAATGGCTGTGTATCAGATCCAGGGTGCATAGATCCAGGTGCTTTTGGGTTGGTTTTTTTTTAACATTAAAACATATACAAATTTTCCATCTCTGTAGTACCAATGAAGTTATAGACTTTTATTCAGCTTATATTCTTTTGTGTACTACAATGTATGCTAACTGTACATTAAGATAAATAGTTTGTAATGAAAACAAATAGAAAACCTTCAGTGTAAAAGAGCAGTTGATCTCATTTAACCTGCATTTTGCATTTGAAGTTCACATGTGCCCTGAAGGAAAAATCTACTATGACTGCAGATCGCCTGTACCTGGATTGCCAGCAGCAGGTGTGAATTGTGGGATCTCCTGTGCAAACCTTGCCATGAACTTCTCCTGTGTCCCCTCACCACCCTGTGCAAGTGGCTGCATTTGCCCCCCTGGGTAAGCTTTGGCAGAACAACCTGAAGCACAAGCTATAGACGTATTTTTCATAGTTTAAATCTGCACTTATTTTTCTTTTTAAATTCCAGTGGTATCACGCCTCTAATTTTGAAACTATTGTTCTGTAGATTTTTGCAGATATACAGTCACAGTTAAAAAGCCAACTCTTTCTTTCATCTCTGAGAGTCCTTTTCTCTTTCCTGCTGCTGTGAGGCTCCATGCTTTAATGCTTCAATGCTTCCTCAGTTGGAATACCCCAGTTTCTCCATCCTGAGACCATAATCACAGTATCCCATGAGATATCCCAGCTTGCTACCAGTCTGATTGACTGGTATTTGGGTCTCTCTGGACAGGAGATGACTGCCACCACTTGCACAGTATAGTTTATTTGAGTGTAGAAGCAAACGTGACAAAAAATTATAATGTAAACCCTCTGTGTTCCTGCTTACTGCCCAAGTAACAGTCTCACCTAGACTTCTACTCAGGCTTACAGTATTGATGCCCAACGTGGGGCAGGGAGGTGGGATGTGCAGGCTGGATCCTGCCCTCGTCCCCTTCTTTCTCTCTGCCCTTCTGAACTCCGCCAAAGTTTTTGTTCTCTCAGCTCATGTATTTGGATTTGGTGCCCAGAAACAGTCTGCTGAGCTTTGCAGGGGTCAAATCAAAGTACAAAAGCTAAAAGAATTTGTTGTGAAGTTTCTGTGAGGATCAGCTACCAACTCCCTCCATCTGTTTTCATTCCCTCCTCTGATACCTGCTGTGTGCTCTTTCAGATTTGAAAAGTCAAATACGCTGTGCAAATTGCTGCAATTTGACCTCAGGTGGAGTGCTCCCTGTTTTTTTTCTCAACAATTGATTTTATTTCACTGTATGTGTAGCCAATGGTCGCCCTGACAATATATCGGTTGTGCACAGGTCAGAGTGTAATAAGACTGCCAGAATCCCCTTTCCAGCAACTTGTGATGTTCATAGATGACTACGCAGTGGTGAAGGACAGATTTCAGGCATAACTATTTCAGATTTCACTAGTTGTTCTTGCTTGGTATTCTCTAGTCCTCTACAACTTCTGCCTCAACTAAGGAGTTAGCTTTCAAGACCATTAGTGTTATAGAAATAAACAAATATTTTTAACACAAAAATGCATGAATCTGTACAAGACATCATATAAAAAGTAGCAAATTTTTACTGAAACGTCACCATGATATTTGCATGAACTGAAACTATCAGCATTGTCATGAAAGTTCATGTGAAAATTTGAAATAATTAAAATATAAGTTAAAAAACAGAGCTAAGGCCCTACTCACATTCAAGTAGTATTATACCATTTCAAATTGAGTAAGTGGATTCTTTTATCAATTATAAACTATAAAAGGGGTACAGATAAGCCAAACCCCAAGTTTCTCTCACATAGTGGAGTAAAACTGTGATGATACTCATTAATTATTTTGTTAAGTAAGAGAATAAACATCCATTTTGCCATTAGATGGAGAAAGGTCTAACATGTAGTGCGGTTAGTACCATCAGCAGTGTTAAATTGTATTTCTGGAGCCAGTATACTTTTCAAGCTTATGGCTTCAAGAAGTGAGTATGGCTTTGAGCTAGCAAGGGGCAGCAGGGTTACCTTAAAAATTGAGTTCAGAAGTTCTTTTCTTATACAAGAGAATGCTAAGCACATACCAATGACTCAGTGACCTAACATTTTAGGGGGGAATCCTGAATTCTCCTGGAGACTGGTACTATATTCTAGCATCCTGGGTATTTATTGTGCTCACAAATAAAACAGTTTGTGCTTGGTATTGAAGCCCTTTCCTTTGGAAACCCATGACAGGATGGACAGGTATGCAAAAAGTGGTCCTCTTAAAGTAAAAATGTTTTACATTTTCTATTGTTAAAATTCTTGCACAACAATTTGTAGTTCTTTTAGTCAATAGTTGAAGAGGTGACAAAGAATAAGAAACACTGAAAGTCTCCAGTATGATACAAAATTTAAATAGAATAGCTCAAAATGTCACGAGGAAATTAGCTGAGAATGACAGCAAATTCACCACCCAAAGATACACTGAAAGTCACCCTAACACTGAGCTGGAGATACAAGAGGTTAAGCTGAATTACAGAAGTACAGAAGAGTTGTATCGGAAG